CCTAGGCGGAGTAGTCGAACGCAGATTCACTGAGCGCTCAACACAGACAGCATCGTCAGAAGGAAAGTTGATAAAATAAATTACAAATTTTGTATTGTTCGATACATATGCGTACCGAACCGAAAGCACTGTATCGAACGGTTCAATATCGATACGAGTATCGTTGCACCCCTAATATTTATGGTCGTAATTCTCCTGGATTTGAGGTCATTTCTAAGATTTGCTAAGCTGAGATGAATGATGTATTTGGCTGAGCCAATCCTTTATCTCACTGTGAATGTAAAACAGCTTTAACAGTTTCAAAGAGATGGTTCGGAAGAAGGAAGCTTGTGTGCAGATCAACAAAGGCTGCTTCATCCCGCCTCAAATCAACGAAATATCCAACATTTCGGACATTTGTACCTTTATTTTCTGACCTTTTTGTGCTTCCATCACTCATTTTTCTCACACATTGTCTCTCTGATATTCTCTTTATAACACTTCCTCACACACTCTGCCTCTGGGTTTCCTATTTCACTGACGGTCGAGTGGTTTTTAGGACGCCTCGAGTCAGATGGTGACGCAGGTGGACGTCTGGCTGTTCATTTCACACCTGTTAATCGCTGGTCACACACAAACACACACTGACACCGACGCACTTTCTCAAGGGCACCAGAGTCGAAGCCCCCACATGTAATCTAGCAGCCAATCAAAACACTATCCTCTCCCCCTGAAGAACGTGGGTGGCATGTAATTTGGAGCTCCATCAGAAGCCAGTGTTCAGTTTATTTCACTGAACAGCGGGCATCAGTCAAACAAACTAGGATACCAGTTACTTTGCAGATTAACTGCTTTATTGTTTTTTCTATAAAGAATCACAAAATCCTCAGAAACGGGGCATCCTCAGAAGGTCAAAGGTCAGCTTGATTTTTGATGGCCAATTTAGAAATTCACCAATCTGAATTTTTCCCCCTTTCTCTCTTCTTTGTTCCAGGGAAAAGACGCCCCCGTGGACCCCTGGGAGGACAGTAACTTCCGTCTGTACAAAGTTGTCGACCGCTTTGGCTTCGTCCAGTAAGCTCTCGCACACATACAGCCTATAATCAGGCCTAATAACTACATTAGTAAACTTCAAAGCCCAGTCTACCACGCTGAAGGAAGAAAGAAAGCGAGCAGCAGCTGTCCAGACGGGTGTTGCTGAGAGATGAGTGTGTCTGTGGCTTGAGCCGGGCTGGTCAGAGGCTGTGAGGCTCTTAAACACCACTGTGCTAGAGTGTTTTATATATAGGCTGGCACATGCAGGCAGGAAACAGCTTGGTTGGCCACAATCACAGAGCATCAGTGTGAGGATAGAGTGGTACGATCCAACGAGAGATAGGAGGAGGAGGGTGCTGGAGTAAAGAAACTTCGGGGTTATACGATTGGTTAAAACCGGGACAGGAGTATGCTATGGTCAAGGTCACTGACTGGGCAGGAGAAAACGAAAATGAAGTGTTTTGAATTGGGCAGACAGTTGGCGCTGGAGAAAACAGCGTGACCTCTGAGTAGTTTTAAGGTTAGAGAATCTGTGTGGGCAGAACCACCAGAACAAGACTAGATCTCCCAAGGCTCTTTTTCCAAAAGTTGGGTTACTTCAGTAAAGTATAAATGCTGGTGTCATGTTCAGAGTCAATCTGAAGCACGAACTGTATGTGTAGATGTTATGTAGTCATGGTTTAAAAAAAAAAAAGCTAACTATCGCATTAAAGCAGGAAGCAAACAGCAGACTGTTTAAGTCTGTGATTTGTCAGCATATCCATCTACCTTGGCCTGTCAGACTTCTCATCTCACCTCATCGTTTGCTCTGTTCATAACTACTATGAACCGTGTCATGATGAAATGTTACTATGGGCTGTAATGAACTGTTTACACAACCTATGGGTCGTGATTTAGTGGACTGCCTTTCCTATAAACAATATCGCAAATGTTGTGGATTTTTTAAAAATGATTTCAAAGGTTAGATAATATTTGATGAAAGAACCAAAATAGTTGGCGGCTGGTCCAGACAGCAAGGAAATTGCATCTGGTAAACTGGCTAGAGAAGCATAGCATTAGGTTTAATCTTATGTAGCTTGTCTTTAACAGTGCTAGCTGTAACATTTTCAGCCACTAACTGTTCTGCATTGGTTAGATCTCTAAAAGACGTGGTTAGAATGGAAGCCACCATACAGGGCTATTAGTCTGTACATGTAGAAATGATAAATAGTTGTCCTGATTAATACTGGGTTAACGCTGGTTTAAAAGTAAAGGTTTTAGTAGATATTGGTTCATGCATTTTTTCCTTCCCACTGTCGCCAACTGCACGCTCATAGGGGATTGTGTGATTGTTGGGGATTTTTCTGTATTATTGTCGGGTCATTACCTTACAATGTAAACCAAATTGAGGCAACGATGGGCGAGGTGTCATCCTTTCCTCACAAAGTAAAGCAGATATACGGCTGAACTGGAAGCTCCTGCATAATTCGAAACCAGACTCTGAGCAGAAGTGACCAAGGGGTCGAGGCATGGTAAGAGTGGTTTCAACAGGAGCTGAAACCAGATTATTCTCCAGTGACTAACTTCTGATAAACAGACACAAGATTAAGGAATGTCCAATCTGTTATTTCCTGTTTGTGCGACCACTGACATATGTGATGTTCCCTCCTACTGATAACAGTCAGGGAGTGAGATGAACTCTTTAAAAAAAAGTATTTTCTGGAAGGAAAATATATCAACTATGATTCATAACTAAAAACTTGGAGGTTAAGAGACTTAAGATCTCATTCCTCCAGCTGTTTTCCTTACTAATTTCTTCTGCTTTCCTCTCCTTTCTTTAGTGAGACTGAACTTCCATCCTACGACTCGGTGGAGGAAAAGGTGAGAGGTGTTGCTTCTCGTTGTTTTTAAACAAATCCATCTGTGCAGCTTTGGGGCATTTTTATAATAAAAAAAAGAGCTACTCAGCTACGCAAATCAGAAAATTACATTTCATGTTCCTGCTTTCACTTCCCCTGCATTAAAACCCTGAGAATATCATAAGATAGACCGGTTTGGTTTGAGATTGAAGCACGGGACACAGGAAACCCTTTGTTGTAGTTCTTGCTTAGTGTTGCGTGACTGCCCCAGAGGTTAAAAAAAAAAAAGAAAGATCTGGGTCGATCCTAATAAAAATGGGAAGCCTACACATGGGTTAGTAAGGTGCCGGGCCACCTTGGCAATGATCTCAAGTCTGTTGAATTCGATCTGACGGATGAACATTATTCTCCCAAAAGATATTCCCTCAGTTGGTGTTGGGTGTAGAGAAAGCTGCTTGATCAACCAGAATCTCCCAGTTGGTGTTCATCTGGTTGACATGGGTCCCTGGGCCTTGTTTCACACCCCTGCTCAGAGATTACAAACAGTGTTGTGTAATTCATGAAATGCTACCTGCAGATACCCAAGAGACAAGAGTCCCAGATTAGCGCAGTGACTCGACGTATTATTTGTATCTTAGTGCAGATGAGCAGTTACCTGTTGGTTCAAAGATGTTTGGATGTGACCCCGGCAGACGGCCGGGCCTTCCTCTCCCGGTTAACAAGTGAGGCAAAATGCAAGCTGCATGGTTCATGCATTCATCTGCTGTGTCAGAGCGAACTGCTGTAAAAGCGCTTGAGCAGAACGATGCGTAAATGCGTTCTGCACAGGCGTGTTGACGCAAGCCTGCAAGACCTACAGCTGCCCGTCGGCATCATTCATTTAACCAGAGTCAACCATTTAACCATAGTTTCAAATCCCAAGATCGTGATCAGTGCTTTCATACAGCTCCTAAACACACATTGTTTGTATTGCCATTAGACTAGACTCAATTTTTCTGCCTTTTAGATATTAGATTTTTTCCTAACATTTAAATGAGGAGTAAATTAATTTCCAGGAATATGCCGAATTTAGAAACGTACAGTCTGCGTTAGGAGGGGAATTTGGAGGGAACTTTTTGGTTTGACTGCCAGTAGACTCTGGTTTACATCCCACTGGAGAAGATTTGGTTTGGCATGAAGTACAACAAAATGACGAGTTTGGAGAGATAAAAACTGTGTTGGTAATGCCACTGGGCACCTTTTCTTCTAACAATGCCAGCAGCTTTGGTAGAACTTTATTAATTAAAAACCTGGAAATGTTAATAGGCTGAGATGAGAGGATCCAACCCATGGCAAGAAAAAATCAGAGCCCCTCACTACAGGGGCCACATGCTCAGCTTTTTACTTTAGCATGTCACCTGTCTGCAGGTTCAAGGGGAAGGAAACTCCATCCATAATTTTACCAACAATTAAAACAAAGCCAGCTTCCAAACAGATTCCTCAGTCTCTGAAAAATTCCCACTCAGCACACCACTAAACCAGAGCAATAATCTTCATCCTTCGTCCTCAGTGTTGTTCAAGAAAACAAAGGAGTGTACCAGCCTTGGGTTTTTTATTCTTTAAAATCAGTTCCTCTGCTCACACCAGACGCAGTTAACATGTAGTCCCTGTCAGCTGTTTCAGTATATCGTATATACTGTATATTTGTTCCTTTAGTGTTTGCCTAAAAATAGAAACTCTTTCTAGTCACGTCCAACACCTCAGAGTATCCTCATGTTCTTTGTTACATAAGGATACTCTGAGGTGTTGGACGTACAGTCAAATAGAAAGCAGTTTTCTATGCAACTACAGGGAAAAATTTAGTTTTTAATTTCAAAATGCCATACTGAAGAAAAACAAATTTATCAAAATGAAATGAATAAAACACTTAAACAAACAAGTGACTTATTTGGTATAGTAAAAGCCCAATTTCTAATCCCAAAGCTGTGAGAACAAAACTTACTGAAATTCTGATTTTAAATGATAAATATGCTTTGTTTTGATGTAAAAACTGGTTCTTTCACGAATGCTTGTGTTCATGAAATGTGCAAAAGTCGAACAAGACAAACCAGCATCTGCAGAAGGCTTTAATTAGAGCATCTGAACAGCTCCAAACGCCTTTGAACATACAAAATAATGACCTGCATGTTGTTCTCTTCTCACTGTGGTTCCCAGTGGACCCGAGTGCAGCTGCAGGGGAAACTTATTAATGTTTTCATTCTTGTTTCTGCAGCAAAAACACACGGAGGTGGAGAGGACCACCAAATGGCTGAAGATGCTGAAGAACTGGGATAAATACAAGAACAGTGAGAAGGTGATTCTCCTTTTGACAGCACTGATTTCATTATGAGCAGGAGCGTGTGGCACCCTGCTGTCCACAGCTGTCCTGAACACAGATGCAAAGACCATAAATTGGCCTTAATTGATGCAGTTCTAGCCTGACACGTGTAGAACATGAGCACAATGTGGCTTCTGAGATTGTTAATTTGCTATTAATAGCTGCTTTAATAGTAGTGCGTGTCCGCGGGGGCCGTGGATTCGCCAGCCGCTAGACGGTGTCGCAAGAGATGATTGGCAGGCGCTCGCCCTCTGCTACAGCTGCACAAACACTGAGCTGCAGTCGATGGGCTGAAGGCTTCTATTGAAGCATCTGAGGCTGGATTTAAAACCTGTAAAGTTAAATCAGTCATACGTGACATGAGCAAAAAGTTCTGGCATTTAAAAAAATATGAATGAGTAAATAAATAAAATGAAATCCTGATTTAAATTGTCTGTCGGTTAAACTCATCTTCTTCTGCACATCAAAACTAGGGACGCGTACGGCTCGTCTAGTAGACGATCGGTCATCACTATTGTTCGTCTGACCATTTTACATTTTAATGGATCCCCAAATGTTCTTGAGAAGAATAAAACACTTAATGTCAAAGGTCAGATATCACCATGTTGTCATAAATGCAGGCTGATTTCACCGTATTGTTAATAAAGCCCTTTGGGGCGAGTTGTGCTCTTATTGAAGCATGCCTTTGTTTAGACAGATTATCTGTTTCTTAGTTTTAGACTAGTCGGGAACATCGCTAGTTCAGACGGCTTCCAGTGCAGCTGTTTTTAGACCCTTCCAAAGAAGTCTCCTTCTAAACTCTTACTTTGCGATTTCATCTTCGACTTGTCCAAAGGGCAAGCATCAGCTTTGGTTTCAAACTGACCTGAACTTCATTGTTGGCTGTGACCGAGTAGTTTCAGGGGTTTACAGCTGAAGAGTCCAAACTTCTCTGAGTAGATGAGGAGCATTCACAGGTTTGTACACTGGGAATTTGTCTTTGTGTTGCACTACAGACGTCTGAAGCCATTGAGAGTGGCTGCGTCCATGTGTTAGACTGTTTAGGGTCTGGACTTTCCCAGAAAGATCTTGAGCCCCGTTCTGATAAAAGTCAGGTTTGTTCTTTTAATATTTCTAAGAGAACTTTTTGGCCAACATATGGTGAGAGGAATTCAGTAAAACCTCCTTCTGAAAATCTGCGTTCTTTTTAGATAATTTATGGTCGGTGTAAAAGGTTTTCTGATCAGAATGAAAAAATTGCTTTATTTAACATAAACATTCACCATTGTAACTGTATATTTGTAGAAAATAAAAGTAAACATAATATGTCCTCTTTAATACAGCAAGGTCCAGAGTTTTCCACATTAGAAACCAACAGGCTGCTTTACTGCACTCGGTCATTTCATCTTTAAATATAAAAACAGTCTTCTGTGCAGCTTCAAAATGACCACGAATGATAAAGTAACACACATCAAATCCACCCTTAAATATCTGAGCCGCATTCCAGCATTTATCTTCCCGAGCTAATGTAAGTCCACTTCTGCCCTCTGCTGCAGTCCGGCTGATACAGAGAGAACATTAAGCTCGATCCATCACATCACTCAACATCGCCTCCTCCGCTTCCCTCTTCCATCCTTTCTTTCTTCATCTCAGCTTCAGGGATATTTCTTTTGCCTTTGTCAGTCAGCAGCATGCCGTCAGCTCGGCGAGGAAACGGGTCACGCTCAATATACCTCTTATTTTATTTCCATACTTGCCAACTGCTGTGAGAACATTTAGCCCGCAGTTTGAAAGTATGAGAGCTGATGTAAGACAGTCATAAGCTCCCCTTGAGCCACCCCCACCAGCCACACAAGACCAATCCTCCTTACGGTTATCGTGTTTAGCATTATAGTAATTATACCGCAGCAAATGAAAGCTTGTACAGTTCTGAAATCTTGGCTTCTAAGACTATAGCTGTGCCCCAGTCCAGTACTTCACAGTAACTGCTTGGTCACCACAGGAAGTGGTGTTCTTCAGAAAAGCTGTGGTGGAAGTGGAATCTTGAGGATGTTTGTGGTTGTGTTTGGGAATATGATGAGGAATTGTAAAACAGCTAATATGATGGCTTCGTTCGGCAGCTGGGAGACTTTATTAATATCCAACAGCAGTCACTCAGGTGTGGGTCCAGACAAAGAGAGGCTCCATCAAGGAGCCGGTGTTAAATGTGAAGCCAATTACTGTAATTCCCGGACTACAGAGCGCACCTGATTAAAAGCCGCATGCTCTAATTTTAGAAAGAAAATCAATTTTGTACTTTGTACAAAATCCGCCGCACCGGATTTGAAGCCGTATGCGTTTCACTTGTAATATGAGATATTTACACAGAAATATTACACGTGAGGATTTTTAACGTTTAATTTAATCCGTAAGGTAACATAAACGTTATGGTAACATACAAAAATACATACTGCAAATGCTTTTTTTCCTCGAACAGCGCCGGTAACACGGCTACCTTTAAGTATACGTACGTATCAGTAACACACATACGTTGCTTGTGTTTTTTTACGGAACAGTGCACAAACAACATTACAACGTCTCTTAACAACCGGTAAAAATATATACCGTAATATATACTACTTATCATTTTGATTGGTCTACTGTTACCAGGCAAAATGTTTTTGGCCGCATGAAAAAAAATATGCATTAGCATTAGCCGCACATCAGTATAAGCCGCAGTGTTCACAGTGTGGGGAAAAAGTAGCAGCTTATGACCCGAAAACTCAGAAAGGCAAACAGCCTCTGAGGTGGATCCATGCTAATTAAATTTGGTATACTTCAAACTGCCAACAGGATTTTTAGGTATAAAATTTCTTTGCACACACTGGTGCTGGCAGGCCCATTTTGATTGTACTTTAAAATAATAATAATAATAATGTATACTTTATTGATCCCCGTGGAGAAATTACTTGTTTTTCTCTGCATTTGACCCATTCACTCAGAGAAGCAGTGGGCAGCCACTAAGCAGGCGCCCGTGGAGCAGTGTGTAGGGACGGCACCTTGCTCAGGGGTACCTGTTGAGTGGATTGGAACCCCCGACCTTCCGATCACGGGGCGACCACTCTACCTACTGAACTATCCCTTC